TCACACCTGGCTGTAGCTCTCCCCTCCTGGTCTCTCTCACACCTGGCCTCACTACAACTCTTCTGTTTGCAGTCCTAGCCACCGCTCCCCCCCTGCATTAGTGTAACTGCCTCCTAGGGGCTCTCTTGGCCTCGGCATCAGATACTCTCCCATGGAAGCATGGTGATGGTGCACAGTATGGTATGGACCTCCTTGCTCTGGATTCTTCAATGAGCATTGCTTGGAGTAAAAGCTCAAACTTCTTCCCATCACAGATGAGGTCTTCTATAGTAGCCACTCCTGCCCATCCACAGCCCTCTATCACCCACCCCAGGGAAACAGCAGCGAGAGTCTACAACTCTATCCGAGAATAGGTTTCATTTTCCTTATCCTTGCCTTTCCAGAGAACACTTAATTATGCCTCAGCTCTCATTCAAACCACCAGGTTCTCTGTCAGGCGTTCCTACCTGTAGTGAATGTCTCGTCCCCCTCCTTCCCACAGGGTTTGTACTGAAACTACTACTGGATATTATCACGCCATAGATTGCTAACTTGGGGATCTCCTCTTTCTTTGCAATTGTTGAATTACAATGATGTATGCAGAATAAACATTGGATGGATGTACAAATAAATGAATGACTGGAACATATGCAGAGGGAAGGGGAGAGAATGTCAAGCCAGGGATGGATGCATGCTCTGTTGGTAGTAGTTCAGAATGGGTAGGTGCTTTCCGGAAGTAGATATAAGATTCCCAAAGATGAATGCAGATAAGCTGGGCACTGTGGCTCATGCCTCTAACGCTAACATTTGGCAAGCTAAGAAAGGAGAATTGCTTTGAGTTCCAGGTCATTCTGGGCAACTTAAGGAGTTCTAGACAGCTGAGGCTATGGAACTGAACTTTGTCATGAAAAGATCAAGTAGCCATGAACAAAATATACCAGAGATGACTCACTCACACGAATGCCCCTCCTTCACTAAATAGTGAGAGTGATTTTGGGGCTGGACAATCAGCCAGGAAGCTCTCTACGTGAGGGCAGGGACTGGGGCTTCTTAGGGGAGACCTGTTGTTGAGTCCTTTGGAGCAGAGTCACTAGGTGCTGCCTGATTTCCTTGGTTCTGGCCCCATAGATGATGGGATTGACCAGACATGGGAGAAACAGGTAGAAAGCACTGAGCAGGTTGTGTGTGTCTTGGGAGGCAGCACGGGCCACGCGGTAGACGATGGATGAGGACATGGTAGAAGAGTAGACAGTGAAGATGACGAGCAGGTGGGAGCCACAGGTGTTCAGGGCCTTAGCTCGTGCTCCACCCGATGAGATCTTGAAGACAGCGTGGATGATGCGGGAATAGGAGGCTCCTAGCAGAAGCATATCCAGGACTCTGTTGAAGATGCGAACAGTGAGTCCCACAGTCTTATTCAGGGAGATGTCCCCACAGGAGAGCTTCATCAGGGCCATGTGCTCACAGGCAAAGTGGTGGATCACATCTGAGCGGCAGAAGCGCACTCGGGAGGCCAGCACCACCACGGGAGCAACGATGCATGTGCTCCTGGTGGCTGCCAACCCCACCAGGCCAGCCAGCAACTGTCCTGTCACTATCTCTGGGTAGCGGAGAGGATAGCAGATAGCCACATAGCGATCCAGGGCCATGATCAGGAGGATGTTGCAGTCAAAGACAATGAAGAAATAGATGCAGAACATCTGTCCCAGGCACCGAGGGAGGGAGATGCGGTTGAAGCGTGTGGAGAAGCTGAACAGCATGGCGGGCAGCACGGTGGTGGCAGTGCAGACATTGACGGCCAGCAGCAGGGCGATGAGCAGGTACATGGGCTGGTGCAGGATCTGCTGGGATGCCACGGTGTGGATGACCAGGGCATTGGTGAAGAGGATCACCACGTAGAGGCTGAGGAAGGGCAGCACTAGGAGGGCTCTGGCTTCTTGTATCCCTGGGAAGCCCACTAGGAGGAAGCTGGTGTAGGACTCATTGTAGGTGCCATTGCCCCACCCTGACATGATGCCCGAGGGCACAGGGCGGCTCCAGGGAGAAGGAGGGGCAGGATGCCTGGTTTCAGTCCCTGAAAGGCCCTGCAAGAACCTGCCCCAGCCTTACCAGGCTGGACTGGGTACTTCACCAGCCATCAGTTCCAGAGTTTCTGTAGAGGAAATGAGGAGCTGCGTGTTAACATTTAGTCTGATCCTAGGAAATAACGACCCCCAGTCCCTCCATGGCTGTGAACCTAGGAAGTGATTACTGCCCAGTCCCTCCGTGGTTGTTTTCCATTCGTCACTGAGTCCTGATTGGAGACTTACTTTTGCTCGTTTGTGTACCTGGGACTTGGAACATCAGTGAGCGATAGATTGTCTCTGTCTTGAGTGACTTCGGATTGTATTGAGTGGGATACAAGTGAGAAGAGAGAAAACACCGTGAACTCCCAGGTGTGGAAGTGGAACCCTTTCCCTTCTAGGTTCAGCTGATGGGACAAACCAAGGTGGGGAAGGGCATCAGAGCAGTTTCTCTCTGCTGTCTTTTACGGCTGCACCATCCGGGCGAGTTGTGCAACTGTTTCTTTGCTTCTTCCCCGCCTCTTTCTCCCTCCTACCCCCACGTCTTTCTGAAATCGTCATCCGAATGCTACATTCTCCTCAACTCTGATTTTTCAACTCTCTCTTCAGAAGTGCAGACCTTCAATCTCGACAGCCATCCTAGGCTGACCCCAACGTCTGAGCAGAGGAGGGTTTGGACTCTGGGACTGAGGCGAAGGGAGGAGACCACGGCTCAGGGCTGAGCAAAGTTCTCAGAGAAGAGCCTGGACTATGATAAGAAGGTCGGGGGCTGCTCATATTTCAAGTTATTTAGTGGTAGTGAGAGCGGGGCAGGAGAGGGCAGCATAACCATTCTTGTATTCCCTGGGATCACAGAAATCGAAGACCCATGGAACTCAGGATGGACTCATATGAGGGAGTCAGGTCCTCCTGCAGGAGTGTGATTTCCTGTATGGTGCCTTGGTCAGAGCACAGCTTTCTGATGCTGGGAGGACAATGGCTTTTGAGGATAATGGTTTTGTTTTGAAGTTCTATCTTTTGCTGAAACAACCCACTGTACCACAATTGGAGTTTGGGACAAAGTCCACCCTTAGCAAGAACTTTCTATGGAGCTCCTGGCATCCCTCTGAATATTCCTTCCTTGCTCCTGGGTGTGCTCCCAGGAGTCACACAGAGTCCATCCAATCTATAAACCAGTGGCTTGTTTGTTTGGTTTGATTTTTCGAGACAGGATTTCTCTGTGTCACTCTGGCTGTCTTGGAACTTGCTCTGTAGACCAGGCTGGCCTTAAACTCAGAGATCCACCTACCTCTGCCTCCCAAGTGCTGAGATTGAAGGTGTGTGTCACCATGCCAGGCAAAATCCAGTCTTTTAGAGGAGGCTTTTGGACAGGAGTTTGGGTTGATCTAAATGTGGTCCTGACAGGACAAGTGCTGGATATGCTTCATCTCCTGACTATAGGAAGCAGCAAAAAGCATGACTGTCATTGATCAGAAGAAAGAACTTTGAGGTGGAGGGGGGGCCAGGCTGGGAAGATGAGGGCCCAGAGCTGGAGTGTGCTGAGCTCATGGGACAGTGTGGTGGAGACAGTCGCGAGGAAGCCCGGTCCTGCCACTTACCGGTGTATCTATTCCATCCTTAGCTCTGAAGTGGGACTTACCATAGTGGCTCTCAGGATGTCTGTAAAGATGGTGAGTGCTGGATGATCTGATGCTTATCTTATCTTTCTCCCCACCTCTCCACACCCCCAGGGTCTCGTGTCCTTAGACTGGTCTTAAACTCACTGTGTCTTGAACCCCTATCTTTTGCTAACACCTCCCAGGGGCTGTGCTGGTGCAGGCATAGGCCACCAGACCAAGTTTGGGGCTTCTTTCTCTATGTCCCTTTTTGGTAAATGAAGGAAGTGAGCTCAGGACCTCCCTGTAAATCCTGGACATGAACAAGGAGTCTGGGGACAGAGCAAAGGCTGCTGCCTTGGTCCGTGGGCATAGGGACCTACGCTACTCCCGAGTTTGTAGGCAGATAGGTCACACGATCTTAGTTCCCATCTGTCCGGAAAAGGGAAGGTTCAGTCTCAGGTCTCTCCCTTATACAAAATCGGGTCCTTTGTGGCACTGGCTGTGACGACAGACATCCTATCTTCAGGTACACAGAGTCTGTGTCAACACGCGGAAGGGAAAGTGATTGCACATGGGACACTGGTCAGTGTGACAGATTCAGTCTGTTGCAGTAGGGTTCTGGGTTCCTCTCAGAAGATGACTTAGGAGACATGACCAACCTTAGAAGCCCTGAAAACCAAGGTTAGAGGCTGGGACTGTGGATGCGTGCTCTTCATCCCCCCTGGATTGGAAAGGGTGGTGTACTTGGCAAGAGGATCTGAGGAGCTGGAGCTGGCTCCTGCCCTCATTCTCATTTTCCCTGAGAGCCTCCCCCATGCCCCTGCCTGGCTAAACACATACTCTCCTACTTACCAGGACCACAGGCGGGGAAGTAAGGACTGGTCAAGTCAGCCCCAGTTGCCAGAGTGAGTTAAATTCTCTCCATTCTTTCCTGAGGGAAACAAGGGCTCCTGAGGTTCCCTACCAGGTTCTGACTTAGCCAATTACCAGGGCCCCAGTGGCCACCAGGATCCTCTATGTGTGTGTGGGGTGAATGAGAACAGCCCCTGCCGAGAGAAGCTAGGGAAGGGGGCGGGGGCGGGGGAGGGACTTGTCTGCAGGGAGCCAAGTCCCTGCAGAGAGTCTTAGCCGGGATTTTCCTTTGACTGGCTCACCCACTCCTTCCCTTCCCAGGGTTCTCATCCTTCTGATGGGGTCAGCAACTCATCAACCCCAGTGACTCCATATCCCCATACCCAGGTCTGTCTCTTGTGCCCAGCCCTGTTTAACTGCTTCCTGGAAGTCCCCATGGACCACACTGCGCACTGGGTCATGTCCTCATTCCCAAACACTCATCCTTTGGCGTCCCCTCTCTTAGAAATGCTGCAAGCCCATTGTTCTGGGGTGGACTAGAGAAAGCAGTCAGGACTGAGGGCTGCCCCCTCTTCCTAGCCTAACCCTGCCTGGCTTTTGTCTCTTCTTTGAAATGTGCTCGTCTTCAATCCTTCTTTTCCTAGCGGCCTTGTTCTCTTAGTGTTTATTATTCCTGGCTTCAGGTGCCAGGAGATGGCGACTTCTCTGTCTGACACTCAGGAGGTGAGATTGCGGTAAACGTAATTTTTCTTAGTCGTTATTAACTTGACAGGTAAAAATGGAACGTCTTTGGTTCCTCGGGTCTTCTTTCTCTTTCTCCCTTCCTCACCACCCTCACCTTTGAGACAGCATTCCACACCGTGGCTCAGTCTGGCCTGGAACTCACTATCTTCCTGCCTCCGCCTAACCAAGTGCTATTACACGCATATCACTTACAATTTTCTGACGTTTGAACATTGACTCCGTGTGTGTGTGAACAGCACTTATGTGAACATCGTGTGTGTGAACAGCACGTGTGTATGAACAGCATCTGTGTGAACAGCGTGTGTGTGTGAACAGCTTGTGTGTGTGAATGGTGTGTGTGTGAACAGTATGCTGTGAACAGCGTGTGTGTGAACATCATGTGTGTGAATAGCGCATGTGTGAACAGCGTGTGTGTGAACAGCATGTGTGTGAACAGCATGTGTTTGAACAGCCTGTTTGTGAACAGCGTGCATGTGTGAATGGTGTGTGTGTGAACAGCGTGTGTGTGAACAGCATGTGTGTGAACAGCGTGTGTGGGAACAGCGTGTGTGAACAGCGTGTGTGTGAACAGCCTGTTTGTGAACAGCGTGCTTGTGTGAATGGTGTGTGTGTGAACAGCGTGTGTGTGAACAGCCTGTGTGTGAACAGCGTGTGTGTGAATATCATGTGTGTGTGAACGGTGTGTGTGTGAACAGCATGTGTGTGAACAGCACGTGTGTGTACAGCCCATGTGTAAACAGCGTGTGTGTGTGTGAACAGCGTGTGTGTGAACATCATGTGTGTGAACAGCCCGTTTGTGAACAGTGTGTGTGTGAACAGTGTGTGTGTGAACAGGTTGTTCACTGTGATTTGTTAAAAGCATCTCAATGTTTTGTTAGCTTAACTTCTGTGTTTTTTGTTTGTTTTTGTTTTATTTTTGTTGAAATGATTTTTTTCTCATACAATACATTCTGTCAACAATTTCAACTTCTGTCTATGATACATATATGAACTCTCCCACAGGGCAGGAGGCCCTACTGTGCTCCATGCTGGAGTTCCAGCAAGCTTCGCGTTTTCCTGCCTCGATACTGAATCCTACTGCGTCATCTGGCCAGATGCTTTATGTAGCACCGGATGGCCAGGAAATCTGTGTAGACCAGGTTGCCCTCAAACTCACAGAAATCTGCCTGCCTTTGTCTCCGGAGTGCTGGAACTAAGCCTATATTCCACCCTGCCTGTCCTGTGAATTCTTATTTATTTCTTACAACCTAAGAGAATAGGTTCTGTTTTTACTTTTGAATTTTAATTTTGTTGTTGTTTGGTTTTTGCATGTGGCATCTGAAGAAACAGACAGTCAAGTCCATATGAAGAGCCTGAAAATTCCCAGAACTTCATTACTTCACATTCTGGACTGTTTGCAGGACTCTAAAGACTGAACCTGCTGCCTTTGGCCTTGGCCGGGGAAGAGGTAAGAGATGAGTGCAGAGGAAGATGTAGAGAGACCATGGCATTTGCATTGGACAAACTCTAAGTCTGCCCTAGATCTTTGAAAATATTTATTTATTTAGATGTGTATATGTGTTTTGTCTGCATGTATGTATGTGTGCCACATACATGCTTGGTGCCCATGGAGGTCAGAGGAGAGCATTAGATCCCCTGGAACTGGAGTTACTGAGGTTGTACACTGCCACGTGAGTGCAGCAACCAAACCTGAGTCCTTTGCAAAAGCAACAGGCACCCTTAACCACCGAGCCTCACTCCAGTCCCATCCCCCAGCCTAGTTCTTTATCCAGGCACGTGAGGACAAAGTCCAGGGCTTGGCAGCCAAACAGAAGCTGGTGAAGGGAGAAGGATGTGCAGTGTCTGACTCCTGGTACGGAGTGTGTGGAGCTGAGGCTAGCTCAGGGTCGTGTGTCTACATGATGCCTGAAAGACAGAAGAAAGTCAAGCACAATCCAGGCATGTCTGAACACACTAGAGCCAGAACATTCTGGGCATAGCAGGAGAGTTGCTCAGGCCCAGGGGTCTGAGAGAAAGTAGAGTTTGAATAGCACTTGTGGAGGGAGGCAAGATACCTGCAGCAGGTGTGCTGACTTTAGATTGTAATCTGGGTCCAGATGGGAGAGGACACACTCATAGCCTGGGTTCAGGATGCAGCAGGTGTGCTGACTTTAGATTGTAATCTGGGTACAGATGGGAGGCGACACACTCATAGCCTGGGTTCAGGATGCAGCAGGTGTGCTGACTTTAGATTGTAATATGGGTCCAGATGGGAGAGGACACACTCATAGCCTGGATTCAGGATGCAGCAGGTGTGCTGACGTTAATTGTAATCTTGGTCCAGATGGGAGAGGACACACTCATAGCCTGGGTTCAGGATGTAGCAGGTGTGCTGACGTTAATTGTAATCTGGGTCCAGGTGGGAGAGGACACACTCATAGTCTGGGGTTCAGGATGCAGCAGGTGTGCTGACGTTAGACTGTAATCTGGGTCCAGATGGGAGAGGACACACTCATAGTCTGGGGTTCAGCAGCCACATATAGTGAGGAGAGGGAGCCAGGTAAGCCTTGAGACCCATCAGTGGCACACACACTGAGAAGCTACCAGGAAACTAATGTGTAGCCATGGTTGGGAGGCCCTGATTTAGACTTTCCTGCAAGGCTGTCTGTCTTTCTGTAGGAAATGGTTTTCTATGGGGCTCAATGAGTCCATCCTGGGCTGCACAATAGGCAGAGTAGGGAGCCTTAAACAGGACTTCTGAGCTGATGGAACTCCACTTCCAGTCTGGCTGACTTGGTCTTGAGGGAGGTCAAACTGTAGACCAGGCTAGCCTCAAACTCACAGAGATCCGCCTGCCGGTTATTATTTAAACTTTTTTTTTTATTTATGTGTCTTTGTTTATTTATGTGCAAGTGTGTGTCATGTGTACGGATGGCCTAGGAGCCCAGCTGCAGTTAAGGCAGCTGCGCATGGGTGCTGGGAACAGAACTCAAGCTCTCTGAGTGGCAGTGATCTCAACCACTGAGTCATCGCTCCAGCCTCCACTTAAAATTCTTAATAATTTATTTGTATTATTTAATAAACTGTGTATATTTGAGCCACAATACCTTCATAGATCATGAAGATCATGAAGTAACAAGTAGAGGTCTCTTCTGTCTCCACCCCCACCTCACTAACAAACATGTCCTTCTTCCCGGTGCTAAGGATCAAATCTAGGGACCCCTAGGCACATGCTGGGCAAGTGTTTGCCACTGACTTATATCCCCAGCCACTCTTAATAATTACTTATTATTATTGCCTGTTTTGATACAGGGCCTTAATGTGTAGATTTGACTGGCCTAGAATCTGCTAGATAGGCTGCCACCAAACTCCTGGTTATCCTCCTGCCTCTACCTTCCAAGTGCTGGGATGATACTATTGTATCATCACTTGCAACTGCAACAATATTTAGTGACAGACCTGCCCTCTGGATTTTCTAAGCTGAGAATTCTCTATGTTGCTTCCAATGAAATCTTTTTTTTTTTTTTAGTAAATTTTATTAAATTATAAAAGTTTCCATTTCCGCCCCCCCTCCCAACACCCTCCCACTCCCCCTACTCCCCCCCTCCTTCCCCTCCGTCCCCCAGGGCAGTCAGGGTTTCCTGCCCTGTGGGAAGCTCCAGCTCCCACCCCCTCCCTCCAGGTCCAGGAAGGCGAGCGTCCAAACAGACTGGATCCCCAAAATCCAGCATATGCAGAGGAAACAGGTCCCAGTGTCATAGTCAATGGCTTTTCAGAAAGACCCCGGGCCAGCCACAGTCAGAGAATCCGGCCAAATTCCGAGAATCTGGCTAGATCACGTCCTCGTTCAGTCCCAGTCCGACTGGCCCTGGTAAATTCTCATCAGATCCGTTCCCTTGTATCAGTGGGTGATAGCATCCCTCGTAGTACTGATTTCGTCTTTCATGTTCCTCCTCCTTCCGCTCCCCCTCCGGACCTCGGGGGGCTCAATCCGTTGCTCCAATGTGGGCCTCCGACTGCATAGCCGTCCTTCGCCAGACGAAGGATCTATGGTGATAAGCAAAATATACATCAGTATGGTCATGGGCCACGGCCGATTCAGGCACCCTCTCCTCTGTCCAGAGAGCAATCTGGGGGATTTCTCCTTGGACCTGGGATCCCATATATAATCAAGTCTCCTGTAAACCCTAAAATGGCTCCCTTAGTTGAAATATATTGTTCCCTGATCCCATATTCATCCTACCTCCCTCCCCCCCCATCCCCGGCCACCAAGCTTTCCCCGTTCCTCCCCTACTCCCTTCTCTCTAGCCCTCT